GACGATGAATGAATGCAACGAACCTCAATCAGCTGGGCAACAAACCCTAGCTACACCGAATTGGGGATCTACCCCCGCAACTGGGGGGTTAATTCGAATACAATTCAGCGGCCATCCGCCACGGTGACCGCCACTACTTCGACATATCAGGCCACGGTTGATGTATTAGAGGTACATGATTCCATGAAATAAGTAATCAGTAAGCTTCGGAATGATTTTGAGGTTTTGAAGCAAAGTTGTAAGTCAGATGACGCTAGTTGGGTGAAGCTAGGTGAACGAGAGGATCCTTCTTTCACGGCTCCTATAATGGCATATCCACTTCCACTGAAGATGAAGAAACCCGACATGAAACCGTACGATGGATCGACTGATCCGATTGATCACATCAACTTGTATGAAGGTTTGATGGAGTTAAATGCTGTAGGAGACGAAATGAAGTGTCAGGCATTCTCCGTCACTTTGAAGGGCCAAGCTCGATCCTGGTATAAACAATTGAAACCTAAGACCATCGGATCTTGGAAACAGTTGAGGAAGATCTTCATAAGCTAGTTTTCAGCGCAACATGACAGGAAAACGCTCGACACACATCTCCTCACCATTTATCAATCGGAAGATAAGTTGCTGCGCGACTTTGTCGGGAGATTTATGGCAGAAAAAATTAAAGTCCCAGACTATTCAGGTGATACAGCCAGAATGACCTTCACATCGGCTATAAATAATCCCGATCTGGTTCATTCTTTTGTCATCCAACCAGCTCGGACTTATGCCGAGGCGATTCTGCAGGCACGTCAATATATGCATGCTGAAGATGTACTTCGGGCAAAACACCTCTAGCATCAAACCGTAATATATCTAGGCATGCAAAAGCTCGAGGGCAGAGTTTGCAGTAAAAAAAAGGTCATACGAATCGTGATTATGAGACAAAAAAGTCTACCCACGATAACTGATCTCGACAAGAACGGACGAAGCGAGTTCATGATCGTCGTTTAAGAGAGTTCGACCAGTACACCCCGCTCAACTTCCCGTTATCAGAAATCTTGGCCAACATTGAGAATAGTGACCTGCATACAATGTTGGAGAAGCTGAGTAAAATGAAGTCGAGTCCGGATAAGCGAAGTAAGAGAAAATATTGAAGGTTTCATCGAGACCATGGACATGATATTTTGCAGTGCTATGACTTGAGGGACCAGATTGAGAATCTGATCAGGCGAGGTCACCTGAAAAAATACGTTGGGAAAAAAGATACCTATTCCTCTCAAGGAAAAAGAAAATTTGACGGAACAGATCATAATGATCAAGACAAATCTCCTTCGTCCAAAAAGAAAAAATGCAAATGAAAAAAAGCCTGTGGTGATAAACACCATCTTTGGTGGTCCGACTGGGGGACAATCAGACAATAAGAGAAAAGCCCTCATTTGAGAAGCTAGCCACGAAATCAACACATCATATGTTCGGCCAACGATGGCCATATCTTTCTCTGCAAATGACCTGGAGGGAATTCATTTACCACACAATGACGCCTTGGTAATATAACCTATAATTGATAATGTGCAGGTACGGCAGGTACTCATCGATGGAGGAACGTCCACCAACATACTCTCACTCTCAACATATCTCGCTCTAGGGTGGGAAAAGTCGCAATTGAAACGATGCCCAACACCCCTAGTCGCTTCTCAAGAGAAACTGTCGCAGCGGAGGGTTGTACTGATCTCCCAGTCACTATCGTAGAAAATGACAACAAAGTTCGGAAGGTTACAGAGTTCGTTATGGTGGATGGTGCATCAACATATAATGTGATATTAGGGCGACCATATATACACGAACTGCAGGCTGTCCCCTCCACATACCATCAGATGATAAAGTATCCAACCCCCTGTGGCGTGGGGATCGTGAAAGGCGAACAGTAGGCTTCACGAGAATGTTATGCAATGGCACTGAAAGGTACCTGGACTTATGCGGTCGTCCTTGGGACTACTTCCTCCAAAATGACACCAACAATGAGCTAAAAAATGAACTTGGATAGGGAACGTCGAAGCAAGAGCTCAAACAAATCAAGCTAGGAGCCAATGAAAAGTTCGTCATCATTGGATTGGGGCTAAAAGCTCCAATACGAGAAGAGTTAATTAATTTTCTGCAAATAAATGTTGATGTATTCGCATGGTCTCACGAGGACATGCCAAGAATAGATTCCATTGTAATAGTTCATAGGTTGAACATTGACCCAAATAGTAAACCTATCAAACAGTCGACGTTACTCGTAGCGCTGTAATAACTAAGGARGTTAATAAGCTCCTCAAGCTAAATTTATTAAAGAAGTTTATTACCCCGCGTGGCTCTCCAATGTTGTGATGGTAAAAAAGGCAAACGTGAAGTGGAGAATGTGCGTCGACTTTACAAATTTAAATAAAGCATGCCCAAAAGATAGCTTTCCCCTTCCCCGAATCGACCAGCTCACTGATACAACAGCCGGTTATGAGTTATTGATCTTCATGGATGCTTATTCGAGATACAACCAAATAAGGATGCATATACCCGACCAAGAACATACGACCTTCGTAACAGATCAGGGTCTTTATTGTTACAAAGTGATGCCCTTTGGTTTAAAAAATGCAGGGGCGACATATCAGCGATTAGTTAACATGATGTTCAACAAACAGATAGGTCGTAATATGGAGGTCTATGTAAATGACATGCTAGTTAAAAGCCTTATGACTAAACAACATGTAGCTGACCTGACAGAAGCCTTTAGCATGCTAAACCATTATCAGATGAAGCTAAACCCAACAAAATGTGTTTTTGGGGTTTCTTCACGGAAATTCCTAGGATTTATGGTTAATCACAGAGTACTAGAAGCAAACCCAGATAAAATTAAGGCGGTACTAGAGATGGAGTCTCCTAAGAACTTGAAACAATTGCAATGCTTGAATGGTCGAATAGCCGCATTGAATCGGTTTGTCTCTCGATCAACCGACAAGTGCCTCCGATTCTTTAAAATCCTACGAACAAAAGGGAAGTTTGAATGGACGGACGAATGCGAGCGAGCCTTTCTCAAGTTAAAGAATACTTGGGTTCGACACCCTTGTTGTCGAAACCAGAGTATGGGGATTGCCTGTATCTGTACCTGGCAGTTTCGAATTTCGCAGTCAGTTCGGTCTTGATAAGAAATAATGGAGGAATACAAAGTCCAGTGTATTACACGAGTAAATCATTGACTAGAGCGGAAGCAAGATATCCCGATATCGAAAAGCTAGCTTTGGCTCTAGTCAATTCGGCCCGACGGTTACGACCTTATTTCTAGGCGCATAAGTTGTTGTTCCAACGAATTTTCCCTTGCGACAGGTTTTTCAAAAATTAGGACATCGAAAAGATTGATGAAGTGGGCTATAGAGTTAAGTGAATACGATATAAGTTTTGAACCACGGGTGTCCTTGAAAGGACAAGCTGTAGCATACTTTGTAGCCAATATGACACCAAGTCATCTGGTGAAGGATTCAAAACAACAATGGACACTTTGTGTAGATGGGTCCTCAAATGAAAAAGGATGTGGAGCTGGAATACTCCTTCAATCGCTAGAAGGGACTCGATTTGATTATGCATTATGATTCAAATTCAGAACATCAAATAATGAGGCTGAATACGAGGCACTATTGGCTGGTCTCCGTTTAGCTCAAAGCATGGGAGCAGATTGTTTGTTGATTTTAAGTGACTCTCGGCTTATAGTCAACCAAGTAATGGACTAGTTCCAAGCAAAAGACGAAAAGATGGCCAAATACTTAAGGAAAACGAAAGAAAATTTGGCTAAATTCAGAGACTTTGTGATTCGCCAAGTTCCCAGATCTGAGAATTCCAACGCAGATGCTCTGGCGAAATTGACGGCAGCATTTGAGACTGATCTAGCCCGCACAGTGCAGGTTGAGGTGCTGAGTTCGCCTTCTATTGAACAAGAAGATCACTATTCAGTTAAAGTCCGACCTTGTTGTTGGATTGGATGGATCCAATCATTGAATTCCATAAAGGAAGTCAGTCAGTCGACTGATATGAAGCCAAAAAACTACGACGCCAAGCTGTTCATTACATCCTTCAAGGAGAAACGTTGTATAAGTGTGGGTATTTGTTACCCCTACTTAAGTGTCTTACGCCAAGCGAAGCAGATTATATGATCCGAGAGATACATGAAGGAATCTGTGGAGATCATGCTGGGGCTTGAACTCTGATGTCAAAAATCGTTCGGCAGGGATATTACTGGCCAAGTATAAGTAAAGATGTGAAAAATTTCATGCGAAAATGTGCCAGGTGTCAGCGGTATGTCAATCTGATAAAGCAGGCACCTGAAAATTTGACACCGGTCTCTAGCCCATGGCCCTTTACCCAATGGGGAATTGACCTTATTTGACTGCTACCAACTGGTAAAGGCCAAGTGAAGTTCGCCATTATTGCTGTTGATTATTTCACTAAGTGGGCTGAAGCAGAACCTTTGGCCACCATAACAGAAGCTAAGGTGAGAAATTTTGTCTGGCTCAATATAATTTGTCAGTTCGAAATTCCGWGTGCTATAATAACTGATAATGAGAAACAGTTCGACAACGACAAGTTCAACTGCTTCTGTGCAAACCTCGGAATAAAGCATTTTACTTCCTCCCTAGCCCATCCACAAACTAATGATCAGGTGGAAGCAGTYAACAAAATTTTAGAACGGGGATTAAAGATGAGGTTGGAGGAATTGAAGGGTAATTGGCTGAAGAGCTCCCAAGAGTATTGTGGACTTACCGAACTACGCCAAGGGGATTAGTCAAACTCCGTATTCGTTGGCTTTCAGCTCAGAAGCAGTCATTCCAGTTGAAATTGGCCTATCGACGGAACAGACCGTGCGGTCATTTGATGAAGCCCAGAATTCTGAGGCGTTGTGTTTGAACTTGGACCTTCTTTAGGAAAAGAGAAGAGATGCACAATTAAGAAATGCAGAATACCAAAATAGGATGGTGAAGTACTATAATGCCAGAGTTAAGAAAAAGAGCTTTAAACCCAGCGACCTTGTGTTGAAGAAAGTTCTTCAGAAAACTGGAGCTTTAGAACCAAATTGGGTCGGTCCGTATAAGATTAAAAGTATCGTCCAACCAAGCACTTATCATTTGATAGATTTAAACGAACGACAACTTACACATCTATGGAATGCAGAACATCTCAAAGTATATTACCAATGAAGTCTGTAATTTTGAATCAACGTTTTACAACCCTAACTCAAAATTGGGGGCTGTCAGGTGTTACATTGCTTTATATTTAACAAGATTAATATTATGTTGGTAATATATGTGTTAATTCTATCTCGACCTCGTTATCTTGATTCCATTGTATAAGTGGTCTGATTCACAAACAAACAGTTGTAAACAAGTCAAGTAAACTTTGTAAAAACGAACAGATTCTCCCATTTAACAAAATATTTTTAATAAACTGAGATATTCAGATTACG